ATACAGTATACTGTATGTGTGAGCAGGATAAGGTACTGCAACTTATCTTCATTTTTAATCTATGGGTTTAGTTACACTTTAAAGCAGATCCCTGGCCTCCCATGAAAAAAATGTAACATGTTACGTTACCTATAAGTACATCTGCCCTTACAGTTTTCTTTTAGACCCTCTGATCCCACCAGTGAAGTCCACCTAATACAGCTTCCTGTCATGGTGCAGTAACAATGATGCACTGCTCCTGAATTCAGAGCAGAGTTGCCACTTTCATGTAGGCTTTGCCTGTTTACAATACGGTGGCATGAAAAAATGTTGCACCTAGTCCTACTCACTGCTTTCTGGATTGACAGAACTGCCTTTGCTTCTGAAGTCCTCCCACTGTGAGCTGCTGTGTCTAGAAGGGGGAGCGTGTGAGATACAAATGAAGGAGATCTTGGCTTAAGTTGGGTATATACTGGTCTATTTTCTTCGTTCAAACCACAGGCACAGGAAAAACATAAAACAGATTCCTCTATCAACTCTTATGAGCATTGATGGATGAATGCCCCGCTGTTTCCTTTGTATTTTGACAGCGGTCACTGGAATACTTGAATGGAGCCTGCAGCTGATTGACTGCAGGCTATGTCCGGCCAATAATTTTTTAACCTGTTCCTTTAATCAGCTGATTGAGGGATGTCAGGGGAAGGGTGCTGACAGCGGCACCCACTGTGTAAATTTTGCCCGGTTCATCAAGAACCAGTCGAAATTCACACCGTGTATAGTCAGTCAGGGAAGGTAAAGGAAGAGTTTAATTTTTAAGGCTTGTTCATCAATAAGAAACTGGATTTGGTACTAGTTTGGCCTGTCAAACAGGAGCCGATAGTTGTACTTTAAGAAGATAACCTGTTTTCTGTCATACTTCTGGTCCCCGTGCTCCACTCTAAAGCAACGTATAAAGTTGGTAAATCCTTATAGACTTCTATGGGGCATATTAGTTGCATCAAAGCTGCACGGGCCAGAAGGGTGCAGCTAGGGCCGGATTTACTCTTTCTGCTGCCCCAATGCCTGGTTCCTCAATGCGCCCCCCTATATGCAGGCTGCATACAAGTGATCTCGACGACATCACCGAGAACACTTGTACAAAACAAGCTGCGGCTTCCCCGATGTACATTCAGTCCTGTTTGCCCAAAGCAGGGCTAAATGTAGAAAACAACTACCTGCTCGGTGCCCGGAACTGCATGTCCTGAGCATCGGGAGATAGGAATTCCACACCTCTGCTGCCCCTCTACTCCCTGCTGCCCCAAGGGCGGGCCTTGGTTGGCTTTGTGGGAAATCTGGCACTGGGTGCAGGGTAGTGGGAAGAGAATAAGTTGTAAAGCAGGTTATGTATTAAATAACAATGAGGGTAACTTAACACTTTATACTAAGTTACCCCACATACAATGTACTTCCTCCAAATCGTCTTTAAACACAACAGAGTGGGCCAAGAGGTGTTAAAATTCACACTTTGGAATTGCAAAAATAATCCCAATGGAGAGAAATTGCCAATACTTACCTACATAACAGGGTCTCTTCAAATGAAATATCTAATCAAATCATTTTTTTGGGTTGGTGTTCCTTTGAGCATTTGGTAGATCACCCCCGAAGCCAACTTCTAAATTGTTTTTATTTTAACATAGCATTATTTTTTTTCATTCTTTACTGAGCCCTGGCTAGTGCTGGATTTTAATATAACTTCATACAGTTTCTCATAAAGTTTCAAATAACGGATGATTAAAACCTCACAAAGAACGGAAACACAAAGTCCCATTTTTCTAGCTGCAGTGTACCAGCTAAGGTGGAAATATACAGTTTCTTGTATAATATTATATCGTTCTGGTCAGCTGCACAATTTGGCTGCAAAACTCCAGGAACTAGTTGTGGCCACTACATGTGCATAATAATTTATTATTTCCATAGGCGGCAGACTTTGCCCAAGTTCCTACATCCTGTTCATAAACTATACAAGATTAATTGTCTCTGCTGCATTTTAGCAGTGCACTCCATAAAGCTCAAATTTATGCAGTAGACTAGGTAATGACACTTTTGAGCCTGGCAATTTTAAATCCGCATACATTACGCTTTACAGTAGAAAATGCTTTGAAAGTTATTTACGAGATGACATGATCTATCTGTATTTGTTTTATTATGTCCTTGGGATATGTTAGTGTATTTTATGACAAGTATTAATTGTTTTTTGTTTTTTTTATTTTGTGATTTTTTTTTCCCTGAGCCCTCTGCTTGTGCACTATTTACATTTAAACCATAAGCAATATAAGATAAACTAAGATAAGATAAACTGTTGACATCATATAAATCCTGGATAAACATGAAAATAATAATAATAATAATTGTATTTTAAGAAAACCAGCAACAATTTTTTAGAAAAAAATACTCCCCTTGACAACTTTCCACTCAGGTGTACTGCAATAATGCGCATTATGACATGCGTTACATTGCATTGCAATAGGACAGCCAATTTACTTTAATGGGCTGTCAACACACCGGAATGGACAAAGCACAATGGATAGATGTGAAGGGGCCCTATTGCTTATGTCCCTAAATGCTATTGTAGAATTAAAAAAAAAACATTAAGCTGAACTTCAGGCAGATATAATATAATCTTTAATACATCATTAAATGCATGTTGAAATGCAAACAATATACGTATCTGATCTCAGTATCAGTTGTAACATTTTCTGTCCTAACAAAAGGTTAAAGGAGAACTATGAGGTGAGTGCTTTTCACTCACCTCATAGTTCTAGCCGACCTGTGACAATGAGACTGTCACAGGTCGGCTCAGTTGATCGGGAGGTGAGCGAACACATACCGGCGTTCACTCACCTCTCGATCCTGTCACGGCTCTCTGCTGGATTCCCCCCTCCCCACTCCGATCTGCCAGAGCTGACTGGCGAAACGGACGGGGCAGGGGGTGGGTACAGCTGGCTCTGCCTCTAGATAGGGAGAGCCAGCTGTCAGTCAGGCAGCTGGGCGGATCCCGGCACAATTGTCGGGATCCACTTCAGCTGCGGCGTCTCAGTATACCGCGAGCTACAGCTTGCGGTATACTGAGCCTAGGGTGACGGGAGGACGCTAGTTTGTGTTCTCCTGTTACCCTAAGGAGAACTATGGGGAAAAGCCTTAACCCCATAGTTCTCCTTTTAAAGATCACAGGGCTTGGGTGGTACATTGCATGTAAATATATGTTAATTGTATGACCTTACAGTGTGCTGTTGATAAAGTCTTATTGAACAATTTACTGATGTGTAGTTTGCATTCAGGTCTCAAACCTGCCTGTGGTGTCTGGCAGAGTGAAAATCCTTTGATAGGTAAAACAGATTACATAAATGTGTTTTACCTGTGTTTCAAAGTCCAGCTGAAGTTTCTGAATTGATTTTTGTTAAGCAGTCAGATTGAATATGTCGTAATAAATATGTTCATTTTTACTATATATTAATATTTATTAACTTTTTCCTTTACTTTATACTGCAGCATGGGTTAAAGGTGCCCTTATCCCATACAATTTTCCTTCGAAAAATGAATGCTATCCATTTATAATCAGCCGGTTGATGGGAAGTGCAGGATCGCAATTACTGTACAACTGGCTGAATTTCTTAGAATGGGCAGACTAGAAAACTTTTGTCAAAACGGATGAAAAATTGATAGATTAGTAATATTTTCTTAAAACAAAAATCGCAACATGAACACTGCACATGCGCAAACGAAAATCTGTTTTGTCGATCTACGAAATTTGGCCAGTTAGTATTGCTGACAAACGATTATCGAAATCTACTTTGGTCTGTGCATGATGGGGTATCTGAGTGGTAATTGAACGAGGGTGCAATGATGGGACAAAATAAATTGAATGATAATTTTAAGGTGTATGGTCACCTTAAGAGAGTTGGATAGCTACTCAACACAGAGTGTAGCAGTCTGGGTCTCCAACAGTCTGATATGCCCCCTGCCCAGTTTTTCAATCAATCAATCAATCAATCACTCACTCAGAGAGCATAATCAGTACTGATTGGAGCACAGGGCATGTCACACTGCTAGAGAACGTGGGAGCTGCATTGTGTTTTAAATAAATGCCAACCTGTGCTATGGTTCAAGGTTTAACCCTAGATCAATATATAAAGAGCTTGATATACAAAAAAAAAAAGCGATTGAGTTCCCGGGCATCACTTAAATCCCAAAACAGAAACAAATCTCCTTTTGTGGCTACCACAGCACCAATAAAATATATGCACAAGTGTAATCACCTTAATAAATTTCAAGACTAACCTACATGTAAATGTGACAAAGTTGCAACCAATCAACCGTATATGTACAATAAAAAAGGCCTTTGTTGAATCTTTAAAAACAGAGCTTAAAGTGACACTAAGGCTCCATTCACACCTGAGTGCAGCGCGAACGCATGTTGCATTTGTATGCATTCATGTGTGAGTTTCTATTCTGTTTGCCATGCGTCCCCATTGCTTTCAATGGGGTCCTGAACGTGCTAAAAAGAAGTGCATTTCTTCCAAGCTCGCTCCCCTGATGGACTACAATGTCAATACAAATTAGTAAACTAAAAGTGAGACTGTAGTCCATCACAGGAGTGAGCTTGGAGCACTGGCTACTCTACAACACACACAGGGACATATAAAAAAGACCCTGAGACTGGAGCCTGATCATTACAGAAGTTGCTTGTGTTGCTGGAACTGGAGACTGGGCCGGTAACTGAAAAACCGTTAGGAGAACTAAAAATTACCAGCAACCACTACATGTGGAGATAAGGTTGAACAGTAGAATGAGAAATAAAACTAAGATCTGCCTCATGGGTTTATATAGCCCATGTAGTGATAATTGGAATCCACCAGCTCATCACAAGATCCTCATGGAAGGCTCGCTTTATATATGCAGCAGAAGCAGCAAACAAACCATTATGTTTAGTCATGACAATATCACTGGATGATAACTGTTCTTTTTTGATCCATCCTTTACAGATTTGAAGATGAGTTATTTGCTGTTTGGAGTAACTGCCCTACACGTCGTCATATTGATCATCCTTTTCGTTGCCACCCTTGACAATGTAAGCAAGGATATGATGTGGTTTTATTCAATAAATCTGGCTTAGACACAAGCTGACGTATAATGTACGATAGATCATTAACAACCAACAGTCCTGTCATGAAAAAAGGCTGAATGTGCGTGTAAATGCACTAAATATAACCGGCTCTTAATATTTATAATAAAGAACAGTGAAGAATGGGATTTTTCCCTGAGGAAATCAGACAACACTTTATAATTGTTTTTTCTATGGTTCTTACAGTTTTTAGAATGCAAGGGTTTTATGAAATGTAGTTTTGTCTTTGGGTTGAGCTAGGCTGAACGAAAAAAGATGCCTAATTCCCCCCATCCACACTAAACAGATGTGGGAATCCTCTCTCCTTCCTGCCGGGCTATTGCATTCTCACAGTGGTGATTGTTCTGCTGTCAGAATACTGCAAAAGTAACTGCAGCTGATTAGCTTCAGTCACTATTTGTCCCAACATTTGCATACCAGCACCTTTGACAAACGTTATGTTGAACAGTGAAGTTCTGAGGGGGCCACATACTGCTTGAGAATTTTGAGAAACCATCAGCCCTCCAGTGGTATTTTTTCCAACCATTTATTGTAAAAGCAGTGTCACATAGGTCAAATAAGCCTTATGTTAGGCTTATCTTAGCTCTCACAATAAATGAGTAAAGGGAACTCCACAGGAGGGCTGGTGACTTTAAACTTGATCTGGACTCCACACAAAATCATTAATTGCTGTCATTTCAAGTGCCGATCTACAATGCTGGCCAAGTATTACAAGGAGTGCAGCTTTGACACAAACTGCATTTTATTTTCTAACCAATGTGACCACACATATAGAGAGGAGAAGACCTGGAAGCCTTGTCTAGCTTGTATTTATATTTGGAGATTTCCCCTCATTTCCTAGAGCAATAAAAGCCTGATTGAGTTCCTAACCCACTTTAGTTGCTATGGATTACTGCACCACACAGTCATTTCCTGGCCTTTAAAAAATTAATGTTCTGCCATATCTTGATAAGATTGAAGAAATATTAGTAAGATAATAGCTAATGTAAAAAATCACTGATATGAGATGTTGCCTTCAATGAAAAATTGCATTAATGTCAATCAGAGTTAAGTGCCTGTTTGCTGGTTGACAATAACATTACTCCAATGATCATTATAATGAATGAGCCTATCCATTAAAAGACATAGCTGTACAGCGAAGACAAATATCTGTAAATTCAGACTGGGTTCTGATGGGGAACACTGCCCAATTAAAATGGTATTTTTTACAGGCTACACAGATATGTCAGGTGTGATATAACCAAAATATATATTCACAGCTCAGTCAACTAACTCCCACAGTGTATGTTGATTTTCATCCCATGCTTCTGTGTAGAGCAGAAACTGAGATACAGACTTTGACAGTTCACTCCTCAACATTACTATCCATGCTCTGCAAAAGAGATGGACTCTTGATTGACAGTTTTTATCTCACTGTCCCTGCACTTTCCAGACACAATCAAGGTCACAGGAATGCAGAGGAAGGGGGCACGCTCTTACAGGAATAAGAACAGGCACTAGAACTGGAAGGGGGCCTTGTTTTGTGTTGAGAAAGTGAAAAAAAAACCTTTTATATATATTTATATATCTACAGTATATATATATATATATAATGTATAGATATCTATATATAGATATCTATGTATATCTCTCTCTCTCTGTATATTGTGTATTACCAGTTTATCGTAATTGTCTATCACACTCTTTGTTCTTTTTTTTCCCCCTTGTCACCAATCTAGTCGTGGTGGGTACTTTCAGAGGATGAAACACTGAACCTCTGGCATGACTGTATTTATAACAACAGCTCAGAAAGTTGGATGTGCTCTTCTGTGTCAACAAATGGTAAGCTGAATCAATATATATATATAAAGGCCACCAATGTTTCCTTCTTTATATTTGTGGCTATAAGGAAGAGTCTCATTCATAAAATGTGCCATAAAAAGTGTTGTACTGTAGTAACCAATCAGAATTCAGCTGTAATTTTTCTGTGCAAATATGTCTGCCACGGTGCTGGTATTTTTACAATCATAACCAGTAAATTTGCATTAGAGAGTTCATAGGATGGCTTTACCTTTAACCAGAGTGGCCAATGGTATGTAATGTATTTTTGTTTGAATAACTACATTTTGTGAGTTTGCCGTTTGCACTGTGTTTTGCTTCAACTGTACAAGGATGTTAAAATATACATTAAAGGAGAACTATGAGGTGAGTGTTTTTCACTCACCTCATAGTTCTAGCTGACCTGTGACAATGAGACTGTCACAGGTCGGCTCAGTAGATCGGGAGGTGAGCGAACACATATTGGGGGGAGGGGCTGGATTCCCCTCTCCCCGCTCCGATCTGCCAGCGCTGACTGGTGGAACGGACGGGGGAGGGGGCGGGTACAGCTGGCTCTGCCTCTTACACAGCTGGGCGGATCCCGTCATCTACGTCGGGATCCGCTCCGGCTGCGGCTTCTCAGTATACCGCGAGCTGTAGCTCGCGGTATACTGAGCTTAGGGTAACGGGAGGACGCTAGTTTGTGTCCTCCCGTTACCCCAATGAGAACTATGGGGAAAAACACTGACCCCATAGTTCTCCTTTAAAGTAGATGTAGATGTGACGGGATACTTTTTATATTTACAATATGATAATGTCAGCTTAACTTCAACTTGCTTGCAGTAAAGTGACTGGTTTCATACCCAAAGACAAAGTATGTCCCATTGCACTCCTGACCGGAAGCAAACCCAAAAGCAGGATGGGTGCGGCAGTGACCGCAAATGCCTCCGCAGACCATATGAAAATTCAAATAGAAGGTCACTCGCACTCCAAAGCAATGCCAAGTTAATCTCTTTATTGACTATGCTAGTGTAACATCTCAGAGCGATGTTTCGGAACCTAGTGGTCCCTTCTACAGGGAAACAGAAACATTTTGCCTGAAGGGACCACTAGGTTCCGAAACATCGCTCTGAGATGTTACACTATCATAGTCAATAAAGAGATTGACGTGACATCGTTTTGGAGTGCGAGTGACCTTCTATTTGAATTTTCATATGATTTCATACCCAGTCTGACTGCAGTGGCACATTTCATTCCATGGCATTCCATTCCATTTCATTCCATGCATTCCATGAAGCTCAAGTAGAGACAATCGCAGGTCCAGTGAAAGAGGATACTTTAAAATCTGAGATACCACATGGAACACCAGCACTATCATCTTGCCATGCTAATGACAAGTTCAGTTATATTTGTCATATGACAGTCACTTTAGTAATATGGCTTCTTTAGTGAATGACAGTATCTATACCATGGAAATAATGAAACAACCAGATTCTTTCTTTAATTCTCGAAATATTTTCAAACACGGGAGGTGGGGAGGCAGGGTGACATTTTCCCGCCAGACAAGTACTAATAGGATATACTGTATCAGGCTGGTGACCCTGAGTCAAGATACTTCTCCATTCAGACAATGATCTGAGCAGGTCTTGCAGCCCGTGAAACATGCTGGATATTATATAGCTACCTGTTTCCCATTCAGACCTATGACAACAGCATCTGGCATAGGAAAATCTTCCAAAACCAACTTCTGTTGCAGGCATGAGATGTCACATGACCAAGTGACATGCAATGCAAAGGAAGCTGATACTGAAAGGTGTGAAAAGCTGTGTAAAAATAAACAATATCCTTTATGAACATCCATCCTTCACCATGCCCACCAATTAATGATGCACAGTAACACACTTTGCATGGTACACTTTCTTTAACCCTCAAAAATATGTTCCTACTATGCCAGAACAAATTGTTTGTGTTTGTCCCCTAGGCCAAAGGTTCCCAGACCTTCCCTATTGAACATGCTAGGAATATGACAGCTGAAATTTGATTGTTTGCTCCAGGCAATAAGAACACTTTTTATTACAAAACTTTCATATATGAGACTCAGTAAACTGTGCCAGAGGACGTTTTTCATAGGCTACCTGAGCATAAAGGAAGTTGTTTGCAATATAATCTATTAAAAACATCTGAAGAAGTTAAAGGAGTCTTAACAAATCGGCACTCTGCAAAGCCTAACAACTCTGCACATGCTGGGTTTTCTCACTGTTTATACCTGTTGTGCTAGTGGGTTACCATATAAAGTAGTGAAACACACTTCAGTTTAAAAACAGACATTTTGATGCATACATTCTCAAATATATGTGGAAGCTGCATGACCAATCAAGGTGCCACTGTATTGTGCTGTTCTACTTTATTCAAAGATAGCATTAACAATACGTGTTTAAGCATTAAATGTATTGAGGGCAAGGCTACCTGTGAGTTACCTTATTCCTTTCATAGGAGCAACCTTGAAATAGAACATTTATCAGTTCCTCAACACATGCAAGGGCGCTAGGTGTAATCCTGGACCTCTCCTTCACGGCTCACATACAATCACTGACCAAATTTTACTATCTTAGCCTCCGTAATATTTCCAAGAATTGCCATTAACAAATGACACCACAAAGCTACTAATTTACTCTCTCTAATCATTTTTTGACTCGACTATTGAAACTCCCTTCTCCTTAGTCTACCTTTACACAGGCTATTGTAACTCCCTTCTCCTTGGTCTACCTTTACACAGGCTATTGCAACTCCCTTCTCCTTGGTCTACCTTTACACAGGCTATTGCAACTCCCTTCACCTTGGTCTACCTTTTATACAGGCTATTGCAACTCCCTTCTCATTAGTCTACCTTTACAAGGGCTATTGCAACTCCTTTCTCATTGGTCTACCTTTACACAGGCTATTGAAACTCCCTTCTCCTTGGTCTACCTTTACACAGGCTATTGCAACTCCCTTCTCATTGGTCTACCTTTACACAGGCTATTGCAACTCCCTTCTTGGTCTACCTTTACACAGGCTTTTGCAAATCCCTTCTCCTTGGTCTACCTTTACACAGGCTATTGGAACTCCCTTCACCTTGGTCTACCTTTATACAGGCTATTGCAACTCCCTTCTCATTGGTCTACCTTTATAGAGGCTATTGCAACTCCCTTCTCATTGGTCTACCTTTACACAGGCTATTGCAACTCCCTTCTCCTTGGTCTACCTTTACACAGGATATTGCAACTCCCTTCACCTTGGTCTACCTTTACACAGGCTATTGCAACTCCCTTATCCTTGGTCTACCTTTACACAGGCTATTGCAACTCCTTTCTCCTTGGTCTTCCTTTATACAGGCTATTGTAACTCCCTTCTCCTTGGTCTACCTTTACACGGGCTATTGCAACTCCCTTCTCCTTGGTCTACCTTTACACGGGCTATTGCAACTCCCTTCTCCTTGGTCTACCTTTACATAGGCTATTGCAACTCCCTTCTCCTTGGTCTACCTTTACACGGCCTATCCCTACTTCAGTCTAACATAATTGCTGCTGCTAGTCTCATTCACCTTACTAATATCCAGTGGCCACAATCTCTCTCGGCCAGTCCATTCACTGGCATCAAATGGCCCAAAGTAGAAAATTCAAAATACTAACACAACATACAAAGCCATCCACAACTCTGACCCCAAATACATCACTGACCTCATCTCAAAATATCACCCTAACCATATTTTCCGCTCCTCCCAAGATCTCCTGCTCTCTAGATCCCTTGCCACCTCCTCTCATGCTCAGCTTCAAGATTTCTCCAGTGCCTCTCCCATTCTCTGGAACTCCCTACCCCAAACTGTCTTTCCATCTCCTACTATGTCTGCCCTTGTCTCTTTAGGGAAGCCTATACCACCTCCTCCTAAAAAATGCACTTTTATTCCTTCAGTCAGCTCATCCCTCACAGTTATAACCTTTTGTATTACTTGCCCCACCATTAGATTACAAGCTCTCATGAGCACGGCCCTCCTAACCCTCTTGTATGGCATTGTATTGTAATTCATGGTCTCTTTTTATGTTGTTAAGTGCTGCACAAACTGTTGGTGCTATATAAATCCTGTACTTTTATACTAATAATATACATTCCATATAATAAAACCCTGACAAAGCTTCTAACCTTCCCTCGTTCAGGACAACACTCTTGCTCCCACTTGGTATGTTCAGTTTAGGAATTGTTTTCCAATATTTTCTATTGTGGTTTTATTTTTAGTTGCACACGTAGTGAATTCCATGTGGACCTGCAAAGCAGATGTACTGTTTAGAAAAGCTTTAAAAGATGATTAATGTTGAGGAAAAAGCTTTTGTTTTCATTACTTATGTTTTCTTCAAAAAAATATTTCAGTTTAATTTATGACTGAATCATTCAAAATGTCCGGGTTTCAAAATCAATTAACTTTAAATAGCTTCCTAAGATTGGTCTACGATCCTAACATGTGATCCTGATGATAATGTATGCAATTGTGCAAACTCTGTTTTAGCTTTTCACCCGTTTAGTCTATAGTTTAAGGTGACAGTAAACTCAGGAGCTTAATCTTAAAAGTGCATTCCAGTACCTTAACTATTAAAAAAATGTATCTTATTTGTGTATCATTGAGCTGTAGATCCTCAAATCATCTCTGAATTGGTGCTGACACTGTCCTTCCTTTTGGAGGGGGGCTACTTTTGTTCCCCATGGTCCCTGTGTGTCAGTGACGTGCAGTAATGTCCGTGCTCGGTGAGGCATTCCCTCAGCCTGCCCCACCCCGCCCCCAGCCTGCCGACGCACCACCCCCAACCCGGTCACAGAGCTATGTGTGGAGGAGGGAGGGAGGAGCCACCCTGTCCCTCACTTGCTCCTCACTGGTGAGGCATCGAGATCAATGTCCTCAGTTTTTGTCCAAACCATCCACAAAGCTCAAGCCTCTAACACAAAGTAGAGGCTGTTGCAGCTCTTGCCTCACTCTGTTAGGTTACACAAAGGAGTGGGGATGGTTGTGTAACTTAACTTAGCTGTCAAAAGCCAGATGCAGTGCCGCCTGTAATAAAAAGGCAGCACTCCATCCATGACAGGTTACACAGCGGGGAGGCTTTCCCTGCTGTGTAACCTGTTAGAAGCCGGTCTGAATAGAGAAAAATATGTCAGCTTCAGACTTGAAGCTGACTGCTTTTGCCTCCATAATACTAGTTGCCTCACCTGCCTCCCCTGACCGCGCATTTCTGCTGTGTGTTCAAAAGTTGTCACCACTCCACGCTCGCTCCCTTGAAATACCAGACCAGTACCCCAAGTGTACAGGCTAGTATTCTCCATAGTTAAACGTCTGCCAAGTGCATAGCCCCCTGCTAAGCTGGTTTTAGCACGTACAGTATCTCCATTACACACAGCCAAATGTGTTAAGAGGAAAGTACAGAAACAAAAAAAACCTATGTGCGCTGATATTAAGGATAAAGTATAAATTACTAAATTACTATTGTCACTAGATTAAGTGTACAAGTTTATTAAAGTGATTCTGAGGTAGATGTTTCTATGGTCGCAACGGTGCTAACATGCAGGTACCTTGCGGAGCCTGTAGTTCAACATGATCTTTTTATCTCTGCAGAGCACCCTTGGTTTAAAGGCCCAGGCTCTACATGGGATCTTAACATCTACCCAGGTTGTGATTAAGCCCTCACCAACTCCTGTCATTCAACTATCAAATACCAGAGCCTCTCTTGCTGAAATTCTATAATTTTGCACTTATATCATAGTGGACAGGCCTTAATGTCATGAGGGCACAGTGCTTCATCTCAGTGTGGGCAGAATTTGAGGCTCTTTGTGCAGTCTGGGCCTAGGATCCAAAGGGGTCCAAAGAAACATATGTATATAAAGGCTGACAGAGGTAATGGTAGATTCTACAAGGTGACTGTGCCTGTTCTTTAGCACTGTTGTTATTTTTAGAAATGAATTGGTCCACCTTAGGTTCACTTTATGTTAAAGCACCTTCATAGTCAACCTACCACTGTAAAGAACTTTAGTTATAATGGTTAGAGTTGGACTGCGTGCACTAGGTAAACTGTAAAAGCATGTACCTTTTGTCTTTTCTTCTTCAGAATGGTTCCGTGCTGTTCAAGCTCTGATGGTCCTCTCAGTCCTATTCTCCAGCTTTTCCTTTATGCTGTTCATGTGTCAGCTTTACACCATGGAGAAAGGTAGACTGTTTTATGCTACGGGCGTCTTCCAGATACTTGCAAGTAAGACATTTAAGTAATATTGTTTTCATGTCTATTACACTCCATCTGTAGTTTATAGTGATAATTATGATTATTACAGTGCACTGCATAAGGTCATTAAAGTGACACTTAACCTTGGAGTTAAATCTTAAAAATAAATTCAAGTACCTTAACTATTAACAAAAATTATTTGTGCATCACTGGGCTGTAGAACTATAAATCATCTCTGAATCGGTGCTGACACTGTCCTTCCTTCTGGAGGGTGGCTACTTTTTTCCCCATGGTCACTGTGTGTGTTGTAACGTAGCCACCGCTCCAAGCTCACTCCCATGATGGACGACAATCTCAATACACAAGTAAACTAAACATGAGATTGTAGTCCATCACGGGAGAAAGCTTGGAGTGGTGGCTACTATACAACACACACATTGACCATGGGGAACAAAAGTAGCCACCCTCCAGAAGGAAGGACAAGGTCAACACCAATTCAGAGATAATTGGAGGATCTACAGCTGAGTGACACACAAATAAAATATATTTTTGTTAATTGTTAAGGTAGCTAAATGCATTTTTAAGATTTAACTCCTGAGTTTAGTGTCACTTTAAAGGCAGAAGTACCTTTACTACTACAATAACTAAACCTGCCACTCCCAAGCTAAACTGTACTAACCTCCCCAACTGCTTACTTAGTTCCAGAGCTATGACCTCCTTTGATATTTCCATCCTGTTGGACAAAAATCTCTTCAGCAAGATCTCTTGTCTCTGTATATTACCCATTCAAGTCAATGGAGACTCAGTGGATTTTTTGCCCTATAGGCAGCAAACAAAGGAGGGGGCCACAAATTAACTAAGGTAAGTAAATTGATAGGGAGGGGGCACATACCAGTTAGGTGGTCTGGTATCCACATACCAAGGGGCAGTGGTTGTAGAGCTCCCCTGCTTTAATACCAGTCTGCAAAGCCCAAAAATTGGGGTTCCCCCACCCAAAGTGCCAGTGTCCCAATGCAGATGGAAACTGGTCTCCTCAGCACCCCCACTGGTAATCCTGAGCTCTCTTACTGAAAGTGTGCCATAGGTGACAAATGGTCAATCTCTGCCTAATTAACTGGTTTTAGGGTTCAGACTTGTTTCCCCAACATGTTTGTGTTTGGTCTGTCTGCAATTTTTTATGTTCCACGTTTAACTGACTGATCCAACTCTTTATGCAGGTCTTGCAGTGTTTTCAGGAGCAGTAATCTACGCAAGCCATGTGACAGAGTTTAATGAAGACAAGCCTCAAGGAGGACATTTTGGTCACTGCTTTGTGCTGGCGTGGGTGGTCTTTCCTCTCAGTTTGGCAAGTGGAATCATGTACATCCACCTGCGGAAACGGGAGTAACACCAGAAAATCATCTTCCTGTTCATATATTACGAGATCTTTACCAAGACTGTGTGGAATGGAACACTGCCTCTGAGTTACATCTCGATCAGCCTGCCTTCGATTTCTGTGGCCCATCAAATTTTAAGCATCAGAATCATCATGATCAAATGCACTATTTTTATCCTTTTCAATCTCCATTCCATTGTTTGCTATGGTCCTGGATACTGCAAAACTTTATGGCTAATTTACAGCTGGATTCAGAATGGATTTGTATCAACATTCCACACAAAGACAACCCATCTTATTAAATCATATATGCACAGCTATTGTATGCAGAGCAATATACATTTCTGCTCCTGCATACCCTCAGGGAACCGCCCCATGCTACAGAAGTCATATAAAATAGTAAATTAAAATGTTTAAGCATGCCAACAACAGCAGAAAAAAAGTGCAAAAGGAATTGCTTGATCTTGAATTGAGCTAATGTAAATCTGAATATTCTTAATAATGTCAGATTAAGAACATTTTTATACATAAGTGAAAATAGAAGTATTATTTCATATTCAAAACAATATTTTAGTTAGGTTTTACTTCATTTATAAAAAATGGATGTACACATGTCCACTTTGCTTTAATAATGAGAATATTTTTAGTTCATTCCTTTTATATTTTGTATATACCTGATTTTAAATCTGCAGTCATGTAAAATGTTTTAGTACTGTTAGAAAATGCGGTTCTGAAGGAAAAAACGTTTACAGAATCACTATTATTTCAAAGGGTTCTAAATTAAAACTTTGTAATCCGCTCCAAAAAGGGTCCTGCTGTAGCGACACACGACCCGCGACAGCAGGACCCTTTGCCCCATTGAGAAGCATTGGAGAGCGATACCGCGCTGTAAATTGCCGCGATATCGCGGGAATTACCGCGCGATAAATCGCTCAATGTGAACGGGGCCTTACAATTAACAAAAAAACATAGCTTAGCTGTTTATCACTCCGCTGTAGATAGCGTGTCAGCACCAATTCAGAGATGATTTAAAGATCTATAGCTAAGCGATACACAAATAAGATACATTTGTGTTAATAGTTAAGGTACTTGAATGTATTTTTTAAGATTTAACTCCCGAGTTTAGTGCAATTTCAGGTCTACATTACAGGTTTAACCCTTTCTACTCTATCCGCACACAAAAAAGTTTAAAGGAGATCTAAAGGCACAAGTATCACATTAGATATTCAGAACAAGCATTGCAAAATAAATTTTAAAAAAAGGCTTTAAAAGGGTATTATGCTCCAAAATACATTCTTACTTTTAAAAACACTGCATATCCATGTCTCTTCCATTTTTTGTGCTTCTGGATCATCTCAGTCCGGGTCACCCCCTACAATGCCTTGTACCACATGCCACATTCAGATAGGCTCCATGCTGTAGTAGAGGTTGGCAAAGTGGAGAGGTGGGCAGGGATGTAGTCGGGACATTATGGAGGAGGGAATAGAGCTATGAGGGAGTAGTGAAAAACTGCCTAATAGTTTTTAAGCATAGTGCTTCTGCAAGTGTGACTACAATAGGACATATCAGGAAGGCAGAATGAAATGTGTACAAAGTCATACAAGAGGTGTAGGTAACCGTTGTTCCCTGAATATATTCACAGGTATTTATCAGGACTAAATTGACATAGACATTTAAAGATACAGATGTTAAAATGGCATGCTGAAGCATATATGATATTTTTTGTTTTATGACTTTAGTGATGCTTCAAAAATATATGAATGTCCATAGCCTGACTACAGTTCTAAATTTCCAGTACAACTCACAAGATTTGCTTGTATGTATATTGTATTAGCAATGTTGGGCTCATGTTAAAAAAAAAACAAACAGCCAGGTTCTTGGTGTCATTTTTCCAATGCAAGCTGTACAAATGAAGAGGAAAATCTGAAAATCTCTAATAATAATAATTGCCTAGTTTTTATATTATTTCATATATTTTTATTACAAACACTACTTATTGTTCTGCTGCTCATCAGGTCACTTCAGCAGCAGCGGGCTATGACTAAAAATAACCTTGTTGTATCATACCTCTAAAGCTTACATTTGTGTATTGTGGGTAATGTTTTCATTATCTCAGTGCAGGTAATGTTCTCTGTGGAGGCATAATGTTTATGGAGTGGCATCAGTCCTTATGTAGTGTTAAAGAAATCTTTAGCCCTTTTCTCATTTAAGTCACATGAAAGCTGAACTCCAAGCAGATGAAAAAAATGCAATTTAATGTAGTGATGTATTCATTAAAGAAAAACAAATGTATATTAAATTCAACTTATGTAAGTAATGGAATATGTCTTGATATCATTCAACAGGACTAGTAGAGGGAGAGGCAGTGTTCTGAGCCAATCATGTATACTGTACATAGGGCCGGCCTGATGGTAATCTGGTGCCTGAGATGATTTCGTTTCGGAGGGTGAGGATGTGCTTACAGGGATTGTTCACTCACTCACACTTGTCGTCCAGTAAGGGGAGGGAAGGAGGGGTGGGGGGGTGTTGTAGGGCAGCGGCACACGCCGGACTGCTCTATCAGTGACTCTGTCTAGCGTCCCTCCCTGCTCACTGGTTGCCAGGAGCTCTCGGGACACAAACCAGGCGTTCCACTCAGCTCTAGGCAACCAGTGATGTCAGTGAGCTGGGAGGGATGACAAACAGAGCCAGGGCCGTTCCTATCCTATTTGATGCCTGAGCCAGCCAGGAGAAGGGGGAGCGGCTGCTGGTTGAGCCATCAGCCGGGCGGGAGGTGGTGGCCGACTAAGATGGAGGGGGCAGGGGTGCTGTTAGTTGACCATGCTGCCACCCTCCCCCCAATGAGATCAGGCTACCTTATTATGGGGACGCCCCTGGATAGAGCATCCCAGGTTTTAAATCTTTGGGTTGGAGCTTATTTGGGGAAAGGGGGTGGTCAAACAGGCTGACCACCTAGCTGACGGTGTCTGATCACTACTTTCTGCACCGTAAGCCAGAGCCATTGGTGTCCTTAACATTGGCTTTTTTAGGTACGTTTAAGGAAGTTGGCTTAAGGCAGTAGGATTGTGCCTGTTCAAGTGCATATACAATCTTTTGCAACAGCACCCTGGCATTCTTATCGCTCCTGCTGAAATGTAACAAGAACCAGCAGCAGGAAGATTAAATCGTCTAACAATTGTCTTACATCGTCTTTATGAAAAAAGTGAAACAAGGTAAATTACACAGCAAGTGCCCAAATTTTATTTTTGCCTACTATAATAATCTAGCTCCACCCATCTGTACAAGACCCTCTAAAGCAAGAAGTGTTACAATATTAAACTGAGTAATGTCGCTGCATAAGACATGCCCAACAAGTTGTTTGAAACAAAAAAGATAGGGATTAGATTGAGCCGGCCACCCTCTTACATGTAGGAAGAATGTATGCTGGATAAAGATATTGCAGCATCTGTTACGTTCTGTATAATGTAGACTTTTATATGTTAATGAACAAGCAGAAACTGTTGCCTACATCCACAGATAAACTTGGAAAAAAATTTACATTTAGAATGTAACCATTTAAACCCAGTGCTCTTGAGAACACATTGTATCAGACTTTGCAAAATCATAAATATTTGGCTTTTCCCCTTTTCAGACACGAAAACCAAGATCAGACCTCTGAATTCAAAGTGCATATTGGCCTCAGGTTCAGTGATTGCCTGAATTCTTTTTACTTTAAACACGGTAATCCAAGGCAGCCAATCAGAAACCATCTTGTACTGATCTGACACAGCGGTGTGAATTCTGATTGGTTGCTGTGGGATATTGTTCGTAAGAAATAGCATTTAGGATTAGAAATACATCAATGAATAAAACCATATGAGAATAAGTATAAGAAGTTTAAAATGTAGCAATCAAACATTACGGTGCAAACTGCAATATACTCTCTATCAGGGGCGTAACTAGAAATCACAGGGCCCCATAGCAAAATTTTGTATGGGGACCTGTCATTTCTAGATAAGTCCACCTGATAACCCAAACAGCCCACCTAAGGGTGACCCTCCAGAGCCCACCATAGAATCTCTATAGTGGGCTCTGCTGGTGGGTCTCAGGTGGGCGGTCAAGCCCTCTTACCTGTCTGGCCGATCCTCTGTCCGCCTCCTTCTCCTCCACGATCGCTTGTGGGCCCTGCCTCTTCCGTCACTGGGCCCCACCTCCTCGATCGCCGGGCCCGCCTCACCATCGCTAAGACCTGCCTCCTCGATTGATGGGCCTGCCTCCTCCATCGCTGTCGAGGACGGGCCCAGCCACCCCCCTCGAAGCTGCTGGTTGTCATCTACTCAGCAGCTGTGAGGAGGTACGCGCCGCTGCACATGTGAATGGCTGCGTGTTTCTCCTCAAAGCTGCCAGTGACAGCCAGCAGCCTGAAATGCCATAGCGACCCAGGTGGCCCACACGGCATTAGTGGGATGTCCTGGCTGGGCCCCCCGGGCCCCATAGCGGCCGCCTGGGTCGCTATGGTGATTGTTACGCCACTGCTCTCTATATACTACAATCAATAAATGCTTTATTAAAATATGTCTAAATTTGGAAAAGCATGCAATATATCACTCACTTGATTGGATCTGTTGCAGATCAAATTAGCAATATAATGCTTGCATGGATCAGGTGTAACTAAAGTGGCATTAGTTCATATTTATATGGGCGCAAAATTATCACTGCTCTGTCTTTTTTTTTGCAACATTAACCCCCCCAACAACAGAACACTCACAGCATTTGAATGAAGGATTTGTTTTATATTTTGGAGTTCTGGATAGATCTAAGTTATACTGCACTCTTACCCATATAAAGCTTGTTTATAAGTTGAGCTAAAGCTGTTACTTCCTGTCCTACATTATTGCCTTTAAGCTGCAATTTCTGACAAAGAGTCACTGTTTAGCAGCCAATACTTTAATTAAATCCTTGTTGTTGAACTGCTGATATCAATGCAGAATTCACAATCACATGTGTGAAGATTTCACCACAAGATAACATTATGACATCAGGTCCTTGCATTTTTGATAAAGTCATTGTACTGTCCACTAACAGGAGCAAATGTACTCTCCTACTTCTCAACATTCTCAGATATGGGTAGCTGATGACAATATATACCAAGCTAGGCCATACTAGTCAATAGGGATAAGTGGAGTGGTTTTGGAAAAATTGATTTTACCAAGAAATTACCATTTCCCTCAGTGGCAACATTTTCCCTGCAGCATCAGCTCTTAAAAATACTGCATGTCACATTTTGTTCGGTCCGGAAACGCACGAACGCGACAAAAACGCAACGAAAACGCAACAGAAACGGAACACAATGCAGCTAAGCAAAAAAAAAAATATTCTTGCTCCACTTTTTATGATGTCAGAGGCAGTCAGAGTGGGAGATAGACAGACAGGTTGGGGTAGAGGTAAAGACATGAACTGCAAACATTTTAAACATGCCCATTACCTTTCCATGGATATACGAGTAAAGGAAAAACATTTATCCGGGCGAGCTTGCAAATCCTCATATAAACTCCAGAACTAACCCTTGGGGTCCCGGAGCCTCAAGATCGGGTGTACCCAATAACGACGTCTCCTGCGGGCTCGTTCTCTGCAGATTGTTGTAGCCAGCACCATCAACAAACATGTGATGCATGTCTGATCACCAGCTTTACATACACAAAGGGAAGTAGATGTTCCGAGAGGGCAAAAGTGACCTCAGAGGAAGGGTCTGCATACTGACCGCCCCTTGGCTAAAAAAAAAAAAAAAAAGAACTGTCAGCATCCGGACCGAAAACGCACAAAAAACGCACTGCATCAGTAGCACCGCCTCTGCAGATCCGCACCTGATATCATGTGAACAGGCCCTAAAGCCTAATTCCACACTCAGTGTCACTCAGTTTATTGGCTATCTAGGATAAGGGGCTACATTGTGAGGGAAACCATGTGTCCTTTTTTACATTTACATTGTTACATTTTAGACTGGGGTGCCATGTGAGTCTGTATACGTTAAAAGGGTGCCATGACTGGAAAGGTTGAGAAACCCTTGTATAGTAAAACAAAGCCATTGATAGTAAATACAATTCCTGGCCTAGGTACAATGAGGGGAATTTATCAAAACTCGAGCAGAAAAAATCTGGAGCAGCTGTGCATTGCACAGCTGTATTGTATAGCAAACATTACCAACATTATTGCTAATGCATCCAATGCCAGTTGCACATAGAGTGATGGGGAGTCAAAGAGAGCAGCGAGCCCTTGGTGTTGAGTGGAGTTGCATTCTATGTTGTTTTATGTCTAGATATGTTTGCATGCCACTGAGTATAATTTGATCAGTAACAAAATTTAGGTACATATTTATAAAGCAATGCAACTGAAATTAAATAAACATTCACTTCATGTGAATCTTGTAGGTGCTTGCATTTTAAATATCAGTGATTGATTTACTACTAGTGAATGTTTGGTGAAAGACACAATGACTACTGCTTTAAATATACCCCTAATGTGTATAGTCTTATTACAGATATATATATATATCTGTGTGTGTGTGTCATTTTATATTTGTTACTCTCTATGTGTGTGTCAGCAGGAGCTTTTAACACGTTTCCTTGTTTTTTTTATCTGCTTCATTGAGAAACACCTGTTGTTTACAGGGCTCGATGTGAAATTTACACACAACAAGGCAGGCCAGTCCCTTATTGGATGGCTCGGTATGAGACTTCCATAAGAGACATGGGAGACAGCTGTGTCTCAAAGGACATAACAACTGTTTTGTTGTCTCTTTGGAAAATCAAGCCACCGTAAAGCTTAATGGATAGAATCCTCCAAATCCA